TAGTAGGTTGGAGGCCATTGCTTCTAGGTTGGAGGCCATTGCTATTAGGTTGGAGGCTATCGCTAGTAGTGTGGAGGCCATTGCTTCTAGGTTGAAGACCATCGCTAGTAGTCTGGAGGCCATTGCTTCTCGGTTGAAGGCCATTGCTATTAGGTTGAAGGCCATCGCTAGTAGGTTGGAGAAAATTGCCATTGTGACAACTAAGCCCTCCACACCGATGAACACCAAACGCGAGCCGGTCGGCGGCCTGGGGACGTTGCTGCGTTCCAAAGCAGTGAGGAGCCATGATCCAGCTTGCTTTGGTTCCAGACCCACCGCCAGACACCGTTTCGAAAGGATTTGTCCTGCAGAGTCTGCAGAGTTGGTCGAAAACAATTCGCCGTGTGTTCACTGGTCACCTACAAGAAACTCAAAAAAACATCAACCATATTCGTTTGTAGGGATAGCAACTGTCGCACTGCACATGTCCTGCAGCCAGAAAGTTGGAAGATTACGTGACGTGGAATATCTTGCCTCAGAAAGGACACGAGGGCTCACTTGTGCAACTGGTCATCAGTGCATCGCTCCAACTGAATGATGCTGACAGCTTGAGTGTCTTGTCTTAAGTGCAGTGCGTCCATAAAAGCCCCTTGGCACGGCAAATGCTCTTGGGCGGCCCCCCGGCCTTCAAGGACGAAGCTGCAGGCGCGCCGCTCCGAGTCGCGACGCCCGAAATGCTCCGTTGGAGGCACGTCCTTGCTCCGTTCGTGTCCACTTCATACCATATCCATTTCATGACATCCTTCAGATCCGCCGCTCTCCAATCGCTCCGTCTGGCCGTGTGGAAACAACGTGGAACGACGCCTCGATCCATTCTTCAAAGCGGAGCGGGTCGAATGGACGATCCGCCTGGGCGACGATTGGACAGTCCACCCCTCGTCGCACCCATCGCGATCGCTGCCATCGTCGCACAACGAAAGGACCCGGGCCAAATAGGTAAAGGAGGCCGCGGTGGTGCGAGGGCCTTAGTGCAAAAAATGGCAACGAAGCATTTATGATTCATGATATACAAATATATATATATGTGTGTGTGCGTGCAATATATGTAATGTACACATGCTTGTACACACAATGTGCACATAAAACAATGGCGGAAACTTCATGAAACTGCGTCGCCCACCGTGATTCACCTTGCTCTCCTCTGGAAGTGGGCGTGAAGCATCATCGCAGGTGTTTTCAACTAAAGCCGCACAGACATTCCAAACGAAACTGTTTCAAACTGAGCTTGGATGTCACATCTCCATCCTGGACCCGCGGTCGCTTGGCTTTGGGGCTCAGCTCAGTCCTGGGAAAAACCGGGGCTCAGTCCATGTCTTCCAACCCTTCACTTCAGTCAGGGATTTGAAACAAACAAAAACGAACAAACGAAAGACATACGTCCGCAACATGCGACGTCCGTGCGGCGATTGACGGTCGGTCTCGTCCTGGTTTCACTGGAATCCAAGTTGCTGAGCAGCGACAAATCCTCCGACCGAATCCACGAGGACAGAGTGAATGGCCTTCAACCTAAAAGCAATAGCCTCCAAAACTACTCGTGATGGCCAACCTATAGTAGCAATGGCCTCCGATGTAAAGACCTGATTAACAAACCCGCTCCATAGATCAACAAGGCCAAGAAGATATGACCACTCATAAGGTCCTCCTCCCCTGAATAATCGACTATGAGACCATTGGACCATGAAGAAGAAGACAAAGTAGTGGTTGTAGTTGTAGTTGTAGTTGTAGTAGTAGTAGTAGTTGTTGTTGTTGTTGTAGTTGTTGAAGTCGTGGTGGTCGTCGTGGTGGTGGTGGTGGTAGTGTTAGCAATAGTAGTAGTAATCGTACCAAAAGGAGGAGGAGCAGCAGCAGTAGTAGTATAGGTAGTGGTAGTCGTAATAATAAGCTTAAACAAACACAAACAGGCCAGGGACACCGGATCAAATTAACAGGGGATAGTCGTGCAGATATTTGAGGAGGTACCGGCCCTTGTGAGGGGTACCCCTTGTGAGCTTCTCAAATGATTGTTGCTATTCTTTTTAAAGCAAATTACAGGCCCTGACTCCTAGACATTTTTTGGAATTTCCTTAGATAGTCAGTAGTGGTAGTCGTAGTAGTCGTCGTCGTCGTCAGAAAACTGGCCTGGTTGTGGGCTCGGATTAACTACAGGGGCTTCTATTGACCAACTACGTGATTCACGTGGAAATTAAGCAACCAGTACTACTTTTAATTTGGCAACTTTTCTGCAGCTTGGTGCGCTCGGATAAATTAGGGAAGGTTTATTAATCGTGACTTTACATTGATAGATAGCAATCGCCATGGCCAGCAGCCTAATAGCCATGGCCTCCAAACTAATAGCAATGGCCTCAAACCTAATAGCGATGGCCTCCAACCTAGTAGCAATGGCCCCCAACCTGAGAGCGATGGCCTCGAGCCAAAAAGCAATGGCCTCCGGAATGGCATTGAACCTAAAAGCAATGGCATCCGACCTGTTAGCGATGGCCTCCAGCATGGCCTGTGCCTTAGCTCCCCCGTCACTATACCCTGGAATATTTTGTTATTCCAGAGTCTAGAGTATGGAATCCAGACCCCTTTGACATGATTTCCAATAATTATTCCAGACGTCGGACCATGGCTGGAATACTTTTCCACAAGGTGCACGCAAAAGTTTAAGACACTGATGCGATTTTGAGCAAGCTCTGTGATGCTAGTGTATTTGCTTAATGTTTTGTGGTATCTACAGGATGTTGACTTGACAGGAGGTTCAAACAAATCTCAAGCTTCTGTAAAACACTGGATCATTGTACAGGTAATTTTTAAAATAACATTTTGAGCAAGGTTTGTGAGCGTGTTTTTTTGCTGGTCATTTTCTTCAGGATCTTTTTGACCTAGACTTGGCAGAGGTTTAGATAAATTTCAAGCTTTCCCAAACAGAGGCTCACTGCACAGGTGGTTTTTCAATCATTTTGAGCGAGGTCGGTGATCGTAGTTTTTTGATTGTGTTTTTTTGATATCTAAATGACCTTCACCTGACAGACGTCTAGATAAATTTGAAGCTTCCCCCCAGCAAAGGCTCACTCTACTACTTATTACATTCTATTTTTTTAGCGAGGCCTGTAAAGTAGGGTGAAACAAAGCACCACAGGGATTGGAGGATTGGAACACCCAAGAAAGCTTGACCACTCCAAGGCCCAAGGTTTCTGTACATCCTGCACCCCTTCCATGGCCAGCGCAGACAGCCCTCGGGAAACATTCTGGCCAGGCACCATTCCCAGGAATCCGAGTGGGAGACCAAAGGCTGAGGTCAGGAACAAGGAAAAGCAGACAGAGCCAGCCACCAACAAAGCACCCCAGGCATTGGAGAATTGGAACGCACAAGAAAGCTTGACCAGCAACACGAAGCCCTGTTCAAAAAGATTCTTCCTGCTGACCCTTCTTTGGAGATGGTTTTGTTTTCCAATACTTCTTTTTGCTACTGGATTCTATCCATGGTTCATTTTCGCTGTTCAAAAACCAAAATGAATTTGAACAAGCCATGTGACCTGTCTGGAAACTTATTCCACGACAACGTTGAAGGGCCCCTCCATCCCCCTCCCCCCTTACAATTATGCCGCGGAAATTATTCTGCAATTCTTTTTCCAGGAACCCACCCCTGGAATAGTTATTTAGTGCATGGGCCATCCTCCAACCTACTAGCGATGGCCTCGAACCTAATAGCAATAGCGTCCAACCTAATGGCGATGACCTCCAACCTAGCAGCAAAAGTATCGATGGCCTCCAACCTAGTAGTAATGGCCTCCAACCGATTAGCGATGACCTCCAACCTGCAATAGTCTCCAACCTGCTAGCGATGGCCTCCAACCTAGGAGCAACCTAGTAGCAATGGCCTCCAACCTAATAGGATGGCCTCCAACCTAATTATTAGCGACCTAATAGCAATGGCCTTCAACCTGAGAGCGATGGCTTCCAACCTCAGGTGGCCTCCAGCATAAAAGCAATGGCCTCCAACCTAGAAGCGATGGCCTCCAGCCTAATAGCAATGGCCTCCAACCCCAACATCGATGGCCTCAAAACTAATAACAATGGTCTCCAACCTAGACTTAGAAGCGATGGCCTCCAGCCTAATAGCAATGGCCTCCAACCTAATAGCGATGGCCTCAACCCAGAAGCGATGGCCTCCAACCTAATGGCGATGGCCTCCAACCCAGAAGCGATGGCCTCCAACCGAATAGCAATGGCCTCCAACCCAGAAGCGATGGCCTCCAACCTAATAGCAATGGCTTCCAACCTGAGAGCGATGGCCTCCAACCAAATAGCAATGGCCTCCGACCTGAGAGCGATGGCCTCCAACCTAGAGAGATGGCCTTGAACTTAAGATGGCCTCCAGCCCATTAGCATTGGCCTCCAACCGAATAGCGATGGCCTGCAACCAGCGACAACGCCTTTGATGCTTTGCTGGTGCAAGGATGCTGAGGGATGCTGAAGGTGCAAGCAATACAGCCGGCCAAAACAAGATCCAACAAACATGTGCTTGAGAGGAAAAACCCTCAACATGCTAGATAATTACCGATGTCAGGCTTGCTTTCGTAGCTCCCAAGATCGCTTTCTTCAACTTTGGGCCCCCACTACAATTGCATGCTCACAGCGAAGGATGCGTGGAGGATTCTCCTGACACATTGCAAGCGCTCCGTTGGAAGTGCCAACCATGTACTTTGCCGGTGTGGAAAGCAAGTTCCACTAAGTTAGTGGACTGTTGAAATCACCTGGCCAAAAGAACTCTTTTTCTTGCAGAATTCGGCGGCGGGGTTGATCCGGAACCTCTCCATTCTAATCTGCCCCAGATGTCTTGAGATGAATGCGAATTTGACTCCATGCATGACATGCATCTCGCAATAGTCGCATGAAACTCATGGTATCCATGACTGTATGTATGTAGTATGTATTGTATCTCAAGACATTGGTGGTAAGGTTTGCTGCCAATCTGGCGTGACATTAACAATTCAAGTCACAGGCTGTTCTGGTGTCCCTCTGCATAAACACCGAAGATCATGCTGTTTCAAGCAGACCACTTACTGGCAAAGCCTGGACTCTGGACTCTGGACGGTGGAAAAAATAATCCAAATGGATCCCGGGAACGTTTTGGCCAACTGCAGAGTTCAAAGCACATAGTTGAATACACCATGATCAATGCATTCCTCTAGGTGGTCAAGAATCAAGAACAAACAACGTAGGTAAGTTATTCAGCAGAAGACTCGCCCGCAGGACCATCAAAAGGACACTCCTTAAGAGGACCTTCAAAACAAATCACTCCCTGAAGAGCCAAAAACGGTTGTTTCGGCAATATACACCGTTCCTGATGGTAAAGAAAGTATTTCGAAGTGTTTCCCCGCGCAGGTGGCAATCAGCTCGGAGCCACGATAGCTCAGAGCTCTTGGGAGATGATGGTTGCGCAGGAAAAGTTTTCTTCGGATTCCCAGGGCTCAATCTTGTCAGGCATGGGCGGTGCATTCGCCGTCTCCACCTCGGCAGCTGGAGGAGCTGACACAATGTCTGTGCCACCATGGCCTAATCTACTCGCGGCGCTGACTCAGGCACGGCATCCAATAAGTATTGCCAGCAACAGGGTGGAACGGATATGAACAGATTGGCCCACAAAAGTGAATAAACTCGAATCCATGGTGAATCCGGATTGGCTTGGAGGATTAGCTCTGACCCCCTGTCATGTCAGTGTTTTACACATCTTTCGATCTCAAAAACATTCCCTATCGAGCTCCCAATCCCCCTGATGCCATCCAGGGCACGAGATCGCTTCTCTCGTCCACTTTGGGTACTTGCTCCGCTTGCCCCAGTGGCTTCAGTGGCTGCTCGACGCTGGGCTCGGGGCTGGGCTCCGAGACTTCTGTCGCCAGCTTCGATGACAGCGGCTTTAAATCTCCACTTTGAAGCCTCCAAACCACCTTGGCTCACCAGCTCTCGCTACTAGGAGCAAGGACGCTACTAGGGGG